CCATGAAACTTTGGAAAGTTTTTTTAATTTTTTAATACACTCCCGTGAAGTACATTTATCCTACGATAGATGTTTCGCGTTTACAAGAGCATTCGCGCACAGTGTGTTCGATCGATTTCAAATTGTAAAGACCATTTCCCCCCTTCAAAAATTATCTCTATATATGCATTTGTGAACTGTTATTTACGATATTTATAATAATTTTTGTTTAATCACTTTATTTCAACTTTTTTTTGCTAATTATGTATTCGCTCGAGCTTTGTTAAAACCTTAACTGTACCCTGAACAACAACCGAAGTTGTAGGAAGAAATTTGCGTATTTTACCGATCTAGGTATCCCCCCCTTTTCCAAATTTAATATCGACTCAAAATAATTTAAAAAGGCAAATTACAATAAAACGGTTTATTATCCAACTATCAGAAATTTCACAACACGCCAGAGAGGAAGGAGCAATTAAATAATGAAAATTATAAAGGATTTTAAAGAATATATAAAAATGAGGAATATCGCACTTCTGACAATCGCTACGAGTGTGTGGGTTAAATTTGGAGAATCCGTGCTTCTCGCATGGACAACTGTATGTGGCCAGCTCACGTGTCGGAAAATCTTCTGATTTATTCGTGTACGCACCAGATGAAAAAACAAAAAATATCGTGTATCCACAAGCACTCCAATAAATAAATATAATTGAAACGACACTTTGAAATGTTTTTTCAATGAAAATGAATAATAATAATAAGTTTGAATAAAAATGATGAAATTTAATTTTATCATAACGAGTTTGCTTGAATTTCCTTTCTACTGAGATCTCAGCAATGTGCGACAGGTAAGCTAGTATCATATAATTATGACTATAAACTAAATATAGTGAAATAGGCATAGAAATATTTAGAACATTTGCCCTTCCAACGAACAATTATTCTCCCCTTCAAGTTGCTCACTAGTCAAATACAAACATTTTGTTTGTATTTGATATAAGTTTATTTTTATATGTAATTAATGTTTTTTGCTGTGTTTGTTTATTTTAATTTTTGTCATAATTTGTATTTTGTATGTATTAATTCAAAATAAAATTTTGTTTTAATAAAACTTTTTATTTTAACTTAAAACTCGTATTTATTTAATTGCAATAAAATATGTTAAAATATAATAAATGTAGCTAAAAAATAATTTTTATGATCAAAATTATGTAGTTTCAGAAACTGAAAAATACACGACTCAGAAACCCAAATATGATGGATGTTGTGTTTTAAATGACTCGTAATTAAAAATTAGAGAGAATAAGTTTAGATATAACAGTTGGAAATCGCCTTTGGTTGCTGAATTTAACACTATGTCATCATGGTGTAAGACAGCAAAAGCTCATTTCTTAATCATTCATCATATATTTATGATGGAATGGTGATGGAAAAGGTGCAAAAGGTTTCTTTTAATACAGTATATTTACTGTATTAAAAGAAACCTTTTGCACCTTTTCCATCACCATTCCTTTATTAAAACAAGCATTTTTGGCCACTTTTAAGGACCAGCATCAGATTTAATGAATACAATTTGAATATTTAAACAAATAGTTCTAACAGCATTCCAANCTAAAAGGTTTTGGATTCGACGCTTGCCAAATGTAAGCATTTCAAGAAAATTTAAGTTAATATTGATGCTAACAATCAATTTTAATAACAAATTCAATACTTAATTTAATATTAGTAATTGTAATTTTAAATTATGTAAACAAATAAAAACATTTTACTTTATTTTATGATAAAATACATTTTAAAAATTAAATTTATTTGTACTTTGTATTATATTGTATTAATAAACAAAATTATTTGCGTATTTTTCACTTATGTGGAACCTAACCCTATACCTCAATGTAAATATGGGTTCGTTTTACACCGATTCGATTTGCACTGGCTTTTGTAGGAACAGAACTGTGGCGTAAACCGAGGGCTACCTGTAATTATATTTACATAAAAAACATATAATTTTCTTCATATATTACTAGACAAAGAAACTGCAAAATATAGTCCTATAAAATGATACATTGTAATACATCAACTACAATGGCATTTTACTTCATTTTAAGGTGAAATTAATGGCAGAATTTTTTATAATTTTGAAATGTTTTATATGTAGCACAAAATTTGTTTTATTAAAACAAGCATTTTTGGCCACTTTTAAGGACCAGCATCAGATTTAATGAATACAATTTGAATATTTAAACAAATAGTTCTAACAGCATTCCAAAATATGAAGTAATGCTCTTTGAATGATGTTAGAATACTTTCTTTTCGGAGCATATGCAATCTGCAATATTATAAAGAATAATATAGTAGCTTTTTATAATTTATAACTTCAGTATAAAATACAAATCTACTTCTGAAGGTACTAAAGAAAGAAAATTATGTTTTGTAAATAAATATTGTAACATCAAAAAGTATATGTATGTTTGTTTATTTATTAAGTTACGACAATACAACACTTTGACGATCTGCCTGGGGATGCCTTCCAGAAGGTCTTTTTAAGGGTAACTGGCCCCTATTCAGGCGTTACAGATGTGGAGTAAACCCGGAAAACTCCAAGTAGTGAGGCACAAACCCACAATCAAACTTCCAGTGTTCAAGGAACAGAACCAATTGGCCACTGGTGTGGTCAAAATGTATAACCAAACAATTTTAAAAAATCTCATATAGCTTCATGATATATAATACAGTATATAGTATCACCTTGTATTTAGCTGATTAGATTTACATGTTCAAATATGTTAAAAGGAATATAATTTTTACATTTAATTATAACTGATTAATATATTTGAAAAGTAAGAATGTTAAAAAAACATTTTTTTTGTATATTTTTATAGATAAATTTATATATGAGGTCTGTTCAAAAAGTATCGGACTTTTATTTTTTCCGCGTAAACCAATGATGCGCGGGAGGCCTCTTTTGGTGGAGTTGTGGAGGGGACAGTCATGCACAGCCCTGAATTTTTTCCTGCCTGCAGGAAGTGTCAGTCGTTGGCAGTTGGCCTATGAGTGAGGTCATGTAGCGAGCTCTCGTCCGATTCCACTAAGTTGGAAAATGACTGAACAACGTAAGCAGTGATATTACATCAAATTTTGCCAAAAACCTTGGCGATACCCGAGTGTAAACCATTCGCAAGAATCAGCAGGCTTTCGGGGACGATCCTCGAGGCCAAAAAAAGCACGGCAGGCCCACAGCAATATCAAGGTCATGTTGACAGTTTTTTCAAACTCTCGTGGGGTGGTGTATCATGAGTACGCACCACGAGGCCAAACCATCGCAAAGAAGTACTACCAGGAGGTCCTTCATTGTCTTTCCGATGCTGTGTGACACAAACAACTGGATCTATGGTCGATCAAAACTTGGCAGCTCCATCATGATAACGCATCCGCCCATTCTGCGCATCTGATTTGGGCTTTCGTCGCCAAACACAACACTCCTGTGGTTCGTCACGCTCCGTACTCTCCCCACATGGCTCCGTGTGACTTTTGGCTATTTCCCAACCTGAAAATGCTGCTAAAAGGAACCCGATTTTAGTCGAGAGAAGACATCGTGCGGAATGCGACGGACCGGCTGATGGCCATTCCAAAAGATGCATTCCAGCAGTGTTTCCAGCAATGGCAGGAACACTGGGAGAAGTGTATACACTACCAAGGAGACTACTTTGAAGAGGATTAGGGTTTTGTACCTCAAAATCAATAAATGTATTTTTGCCGACCAAAGGTCCGATACTTTTTGAACAGACCTCATATACTAAATACTGTTATATAAATTGTATTTTCATTAATAATACAGAAAATTGGAGAAAAATTTCTAAATATGTTTCCAGCCATTATTGGATAAAGACTGCTTGAACAGTTTCTTTCAATGAATGTTGATTTTTATTTATTCCGTAATATGAGCAAGATTTAAAATGAAACACTTTGTAATTATACTGTTTTATTTCTGTATTTTGAATAATTTACTATTAAATATTAAAAATAACTAATATAGTTAAATTCTGAAAATATTTAAAAAATAATCTACTCAGTGATTGTTACAAATGATTTATAGTATAATTATAATTAAATTAATATAATAAAATTATATTTAAGTATAGTTATTAAACACAATTTAATTACATGATAAATTTAATACCTAGATTTTTATAAATTGACTTGTTCTCTTTTTAAGTTTATATTAATTTAATTTTAATTCTATATATAAACAAGGAATTGTTCAAAAATTATCCAGTGACTAAGAATTCTTAGAAATACTAAATTTAAAATGATAGTAAAAAGATTGCTATCATTTTAAATTATTACAATTACATTAATTATTATCTGTGAACATTGTACTGGACATTTTAAAACATTAGAAAACCATCCAAGATTTACATTTGCATGTGACAGTTTCTTAAATGCATGAACTTGTGTCACATGGTACATACTCAAATTCTGTTGTCACTGTTATTCTATTGATCGGTGTGTGTTAAATACTACTTTGATAATAATTAACATAATTACAATAATTAAAATGGTAGAATTTATTTTTGGAAGATCCTGCTTATATTATCTTTATTGCTTTAATTTTGTTACTTCATATTTTATGTACATTTGTTAAAATTTTCGAATGCTTGATTATTGTGGTTAATCTAACTTTCATCTGAATGATTGTTTTCATATATGGAGATTTTATTATAATTATTTGTATCATTCAGCATTTACTCATTGTATTATGTTATCCAAAATCCTAACCTTTATTTAAAAAATAAAACAAAAGAAAAATTGACATTTATAAGAAGTTACCAAATAATAATTAAACTTACCAATGTATTTACAAAAATACAGATTGAATTGGAGCTGAAATGTTTGTTATACAAAGTATTTCAAAAATAAACTTTATTTACCAAGTTTTGAAAGATTAAAAGTAATAAATTTAATTATAAATTATACCATTCCTGTAACAATCATTATTAATATAAGCAATTTAAATTCAATAGGTATGTAAATGGTCATGCAAAAGCCCACCATGAGGCAAATGAAGAACATATGGTATGCATGGATTGTATCAATTATGCTGCTTATTGGTAAGTAAATTTTAAGTTTATAATTAAATAAATATAATAGTGTATATTATATAAATTACAAGAGAACAATTAATCCTTCTATTAAATTAGTATTGTGATTTTTATTATTCATTCAAATTCTTTATTATAATCAATCTATACTATTTTTAGTTATGTCTGTGATGATTTCGTTGTGAATGATACCAAATCTGGTGGATTAGATCAGCTAAGAGAAAGATTGCAAGAATTTAATAAGTATGAATTAAGTAATTTCATACTATCAGTTTTATAATTTATATTTACTGTTTTTGAAAAATTCTTTACTGTTTACAAGTTAAAATGCCTTGATACTTATTCAAAGCAGATGTATCAAACAATAAATTTTAGAATTATTGCATAATAAATATATATACATACTTTGTAATTTTTAAAAGATCTGTTTGACTTGCAAATTACTCAATTAAAATTTTGCTTATTGAATATTATTTATTAATGTTGTTTACTGCATAATGCAGTAAACAGAAAATTCAGATCATTCAAGATAAAAATTATACAAAATAGCTTATTTTGAAAATATTTTTTTATTTATTCTTTAGATAGATAAAACATTTTTCAAGATTATGCTCTGTTTATTGAAAATTAACAATTTTTTTAATAATAATTTGTTGATTTTAATTTTGATTTATTTGCTTTATAGTTTAGATTCCCAGAAAAGACTAAAGAGACAAAATAATGTAAGCAGCGGAACAGAAAATGCTAGAAGGAAGAAAAGCAAAAAGGTTAGCATTTTTTAACTTTACAATAGTACAAATTAGAAAAATATTGTATTAATATTTGTATATTCTGTAATTATATATAGTATAGTCTTGCTTTATGCAAGGGTTGTATGTAAGGAGTTCCATATAAAATGAAATTTCATGTAAATTTGTGCTCCACCTCAGGTAGTCACTAATGATTGCCTAAACACTTGTGTGACCATTTACAATTAATAGAAAAATATGAAATTGCATTTAAAACATTTCATTTGTATTTGATAAAATGAATAACATTTTAGTCTGATATTTCTGAATATACAGAGAAAAATTTTATTATACTACATGAAGTATATTACTTGAGAAAAATTTACCACAGCAATTAGCATTTGCAAGGCTGCCAAAATATTGCATGTGTGCCAACTTGGGAGAGGAGAGAAAAATATGTGATAGTTCAACAGGTTGAACTTCAAGGATGAGGGAAATTCTTGCATTTCTCATGCATTATATGCAAGAACTTTGTTTCCCTTTTCTTCATAAATGGAATTGTGAGTGTGAAATTCTAATTCCCAAAGTTCTCTTCCACCTGTTTTTCCTCTTCTTGCATCTGCATAAATGCAGTCTTGGGAATTTCAGAAACTGGAGAAACATGATTTTCTAACTTAAGAGTCAGTTTCATGACACTAGGATTGATTAACTAACCATTCATTATATTAATATATATATTAATCTCACATAAAGCAAAACCTTACTGTATAATGAAGTTTTTAGTGTGAATATTGCATATTATTATTATTATTATTTTATATTACATTGTATTGAATATTCAAACAAAAGTTGTTTGAGTCAAACAAAATGAGACTTGGTGATATTGTGAGTTTACACTGCCAGTTCCTACTTTCAGCATTGTCAAACTTTTTATGTTACTTCTCACAAGTCATACTTTCATTTGATTACCAATACAATATATATAAATTTTTAAATACTTTAATTGTGAAGTGACTTTTTACAATTAAAGCATGATTTAAAAAATAAAATGTTTTGTTTTTAACTTTTTATGAATTATTTAATTTCACTGTTAAAATAAAGGATATCTGTAGTTAGTAGTTAGTGTTATTTTTAAACTGCTTTTATTTATTTAGCTAATATATTGCAACAAAAATTGATATACTGTAAGGTCTCTTTTTATGCGGATTATTTTTATGCGATTTTGAAGTTGTGCAGTTTGTATTTCATCCAAAAATTTCTTGGACAAACATACATATAGGCTTGTTTAGGAAGCCCGCGTATAGACAGTCTCCAAAAATCGTGGAACGCTCAAAGCTCGCTCCATTTGTTCCACTGACATATAACGTTTATGGATGTAAAGGATAGATAGATCTACCTTAAAATCGCTTTAGTTCCTAGCAATTTTTGATATAAATGTAATTAAACATAAAAATACTTAAAACTGAAAAAAAAACGAAAGAATTAAATTAAATTTTAATTAACTCTTCACATCCAGATGTGATTTGTTTTTAGAGTGAGCTTTTGCAATTCGGGGATTCCCCTTGTACATGATACTTATCATCGACAAGTCACTATTACATCATTCTGAGTTTCGCATTGAAAGGTATAAACTGTAATTGTTTTTAAATTAAATTTTATTTTAGCGGTGTTTTGTTCATTTTTATAATAAGTAGCGAGTTTAAATTTTGCTGATTTCAAGTTGCAGTAATAAGCAGCCTATTTCTTTTAATTTCTGCAAACTTTTTTATGTGGTTTTAAGTTAATTTTAACTCATTGTTTTGGTTTTATGCGATTTTAGAAAATTTCAGAACATATTCCTACTTTTTCAGAGCAAGTAAAGTCTTTTTTTATGCGAATTTTTTATATGCGCTTTTCTGTAGAACGTATCCACCGCATAAAACGAGACCTTACAGTACTATAAACAAAGTTTTTACTTTCTTAATGCATTTTTTTGACATACATAACACTGAAATTCACCACATATTTATAAATTTCAATATATATAATAGTCTGAAATGTTTAATTCAAATGTTTTTGCAAAATAAATTAATTTAAAATATGAGACCATCTAAATTTTAATGCATTATTGTGATACTATGTGATTACAAGTATCTGTATTTCTGCAAAATTTATTGACAAAATTTAGGATATGTTAAATTTATCAAAGAGAAACAACAGGAAATATTAATATACTACACTACATCAATTGTAATCTTGATTTCTTAAATAATGTATTATTTGTGTTCAAACATATATTGATAAAAAAAAAGATTTATCCATAATGTCTGTTTCATGGAATTTGAATTTATCATTTGGTTGAGCATATAAAAGCTGGAATTAAGTTAATTAGCAAGGTTATATAAAAAAAGCTAATTATAGCACATCTGTAATCTGCTTTTTCATTTGTTACATTGATTTGCTGATTGAATCAATGCATGGCTCTGATAATTAAAAGCAATGTGAAAATACTTCATTAGGTTAACAGACAGGTGGATTTGATGTCACCTGACCAAAGTTTTTTCTTTTTAAAGAAGGCTGACAATTTTTGCACATTAAAAAATACTTTGTGAAAAATGAAGACATTTTAGTCTTTATGTATTTTTTAACTAAGTTTTTTCTTTTGGAATTATGTCAGATGTAGCTTTTGCATTGTCTGTTGTTTTTAAATTTTATAAGTACATTTCTATTTCCATTGTCACTTATGTTTAAGAATTTGGCAGTGTTGAAGGTTACTTTGGACTTATTCATATTAGAAAACAATGTAATTTGTATGGAGGTATTATAGTATATTAAAATATTTTCATAATATAGCAAGTATGGTGACGATGACAACATTTTATGTTATATAACTTTCTAGTATTTAGGATAAAAACTGTACAGGTAGCCCTCGGTTTATGCTGGTTCAATTTACGCCGATTCACAATAACGCCGCTGTACAATTTGCGATTTTGCTGTGTAATTCCCCGATTTTCCCTATGCCAGACTGATTTTCGTTTCAGTGTTGACGTATTTACCGAGTCGCGACATTGTACAGTACATTCGTTAAAACAAAGATTTTTATTGAATATATTTATTTTTTCTGTTTAATATTATTGGGTATGTATACATTTGCATTAAATTAATATTAAAATACTAAACGTTTAGGTACCCACGAGACAAGTTATCAAACTTAATAGTTCAATAAATGGCGTCCGAATCCATAGCGCCATTGAATTTATCCCGTATCAGTTCGTTCGGGAAAACATCTTACAATGCAGTAGCACTTCCAGCGATCACAAACTATCATTAGTGAGACTAATCTACTTCTCGTTGGCCAGACGATATCTATCTCTCCTTAATTTTCCCGCTCAAACTGACCTTACATATGCGTTACAGCAACTGGTGGTCGACCAATCAGTGTCTCCGCTTGTCCGTAGCTCTACATCGGGTTAACATATCCTTTCAACTATGGAAAGTTTGATGGTTGAACTTTGTGAGTTAGACAATGATTGGGAGCGAAGTGCGAATGTAAAAAGGAGCATCATCGCATCCATTCGACCATATTCCGAAATTCTCAATGAAAGAAAACAAAAATGTAAACAAAGACGAATACTTTTTCCGAAAAATGTAAGACATCCGAAACTAAAATTTTTAATAAAAACATTTAACTTTATTTTATGATAAAATACATTTTAAAAATTAAATTTATTTGTACTTTGTATTATATTGTATTAATAAACAAAATTATTTGCGTATTTTTCACTTATGTGGAACCTAACCCTATACCTCAATGTAAATATGGGTTCGTTTTACACCGATTCGATTTGCACTGGCTTTTGTAGGAACAGAACTGTGGCGTAAACCGAGGGCTACCTGTAATTATATTTACATAAAAAACATATAATTTTCTTCATATATTACTAGACAAAGAAACTGCAAAATATAGTCCTATAAAATGATACATTGTAATACATCAACTACAATGGCATTTTACTTCATTTTAAGGTGAAATTAATGGCAGAATTTTTTATAATTTTGAAATGTTTTATATGTAGCACAAAATTTGTTTTATTAAAACAAGCATTTGAAAGTTATAAGTAAATATCTCTAAAGTAACTATTTTGATAATCTGAAAGTTCATTATTGAATTAATTTTTAATATATGTAATTAATTTTAATTTTTTAAAAAATATATTTGAAATTTTATTTATTATTGTAGAATAAATCTATTTATTTTATATTAATCAAATTCTATAGATGTATTGAATTTTTGAGCTATAAAGGAATTACATAATGTATTAATTTCTTTTAAGGGAAATGGGAACAAGAGTTATTGTAAAACTCGAATTTCTGGTTTAAGAAATCTAGGTAACACATGCTTTATGAATGCTGTTTTGCAGTCATTAAGGTAAATTTATCTATCTTTAAAAGTTTTATTTAATTTATGTAATGTAGTTTCTAAGAATTAAATATATATTTTAAAAAGTTTTTATCAATTTCAGATACAGTTGAACTCCATTTATACATTTCTCAGTTGTACACTTATCACAATTATACATTAAATATTTTCTGATGGTACTTTTTCCATTTTAAAAACACTTCCAGTTATATGATTTTGCACTTGTGTCATCTTTTTCAGTACCCCAGAGCACTTTTTTCTCCTATACATTATTCACTTTGAAATGAAAAAGTAAATTATCTATTCACTTCAGTTTAGTTCACATTGATAGTAAATTGCCAGAATATGCAAAAAGCAAAGGGAATAATACATAATATAATTCTGTTTCTGATAAATTTTCCCATTTAGAAAATTGCCCCACTAGTCCAACACTGAAAATTTTTGCTTTCCATATTCTGTAATGTGAACCAATTTTACTAACAAAATAAAAATTGCTTTGGTTTTTTATTTGTTTTTACTATTTGCTGTCAATATGAGCTAATCTTTTCTCTTTATTCTTTCACTTGACTGGCATTTTGGCACACAAATGCAATTAGATCTATTTAGGATGACAAAAGTGATTTCTCTATAAAAGGAATATATAGCATGATATCTACTTATTTGTATTCCAGTAGGTAGTGTTGGTAGGAAAACTGTGGAATTCTGCTTGAAGGAAGTTTGTTTTAATAAACACAAAATAGTCATGAAGTAAATAATGTACTTTTCTTGTGGAATGCTGTATATACACATTGCAACTACCTGTAAACAAAGGGATCATTTGAGATATCTGAAATTTTTAATATTTAACCGTTAAGATGAAAACTAACATACAAACCACAAAATGTAGCAGTATTCAGTCGAACATTTTTTAAAGTCTCAAAACAAAATTATTGAATGAATTTACATCTTAAAAATTTATAGATTTTTCAACAATAATGTAATAATTAATCAATATGATAATACAGTTAAAACATGTATATCTCTAGCTTCACAGTTCAGACTAAAAATTATTTATGGTGACTAAAAGGTAAAAAAAGCATAGTTGCTCTGTTTTGGATGTGACTGGTGCAAGTGCAATCAAGGGGAGAAATGTTCTCTTGTGGGATACTAATGCTCTTATTTCGATAAATAAAAATGAAAAATAAGTAAGGTTAGGAACATGATTATCAAGGAACATCTATTAAAACCACTTTTGTTTTTTAGCCCTAATAGAAAAATATATGTTTGTTACCTACATAGGTCTATTTGTTGTATGTGCAGCAGAAGGAAATAACTGACATTATGTGCTGTACAGTACTTTAAAAAAAAAGAAAAGAAAAAAACAAGAAACAAACAAAATTTGATCTGTTTTTTAAATGTACATAACTAAATTTTACTCTGTTTTAATTTCTGAATATAATTTGAAATCTATATTTATTCGCTTTTTAAAAATATATTTTATTCTTAAATTTTTTTGTTAAAATTTAGTATTTATTGATTCAATTTAAACTTGATATCATGAAGAGCAATTTTTTAAAATATTTGTATGCATTAATAGCACTTTGTATTTTTTATCTATCAATGTTCGTTGATTTATCCTGCATTAAATACTGTAGACACTATATTTAATTTTTAAATACAGTAGAGCATCATTTATCCGAAAGTTGGTTATCCAAAATGTCAGTTATCCGAAAGAATTCCAGTCAGCAAATTTAAATTTTCACTAGTGCTGTGGCGCTGCAATCTTTGGCTATATCTTGGGCTACTCCAATATTTCTTTTTGTTGGTGTGTGTGTTTTAGCTGGCACATGCAACGGAGAAAAATTTCAACACGGGATAGGTTAATATATTTTTTTGTACATAATCGGTTATCCGAAAAATAAGTTATCCGAACAACCCCAGTCCCCAATTGATTCGGATAAATGACGCTCTACTGTAATTGCATTTAATGCAAATAAATGTTATAGAAATGGAATATATAAAGGGTAATTTGGGAAAAAAATTATTTGGTTTCTCACATGCAAAACTATTAATTTAATTGATTCTGCCTATTCTATTATTTGACTTTTTAATTTACATCTTAAAAATGCATCTCTCATTTATTTTTAAGAGAAATATTAAAAAATTTTTTTTGCATTAGAAATTCACAAAAAATTCATAAATTCATAAATTAATGAGAAACTTGTTTTATAATCTCTGGTTAGTTTAAAAATACCAATAATTTTATTGTAAAAGTTGCAAATCAGTTTAAGAGCTTATAAAAATGCATGCATGAAATGCATCTTTTCTTCCAAATGATCTACATTTATTGCAGAAAAGTTGTTGGAATGAGATTGTGTATTTAAAATGTGAATATTTTTAAAAGATCACATTTTAAATACACAGTTTTACTGTTGTAAAATTTATGTTGTTTGCAATTTTTTTTCAATGCATTATTTACTTATATGCAAGATGAAATTTGTGGTGTTAATCATATTCAAATGCAGTTTTTATGTGACTTTATAAAATAAATGTAAACAAAAATTTGTATGCTTTTCAGCAGGTACTAAATACATACTTGCTATAAAAATAAATTATTAAGAAAAATACTGCTATTTTTATTAAAACAGCAGTATTTTTCTTTTCTATTTTGTTTTTTAGATTATTTTACATAACATATTTTACTACACAGTTAAACAGATTTAACACAAAATATAAATTAAAATTTGGGTTATAAATTATTATGAAATTCTAAATGAAAATTGTCCAATGTTGTTAGTTATATATATATATAGATTTAATCAAGTAAATTATAATTTATAGATCAAAGTTAATATAAATTATTAATCTGTTTTTTTTAATAATCTAGCAACATACAGCAATTTTCTTGCTACTTCAAACAGCTGCCATCTCTTGAGCCAAAAGTGCACAAAAATGGTCGGAAAAATAATCATGCGCGGAAATGTAATGGAGGTGACGAAATGTAAATAAGGATATTAATTTGGAAAATATTGACATGGAAATTTTTGTTTTGTCAATAATTTATAAAATAGTAATTTGTTAATAAATCATATAATATTTCATCCTATTCACAGATTATTAGCAGAAGAATTGAGAAAAACATTAATATCTTTATGGCAAGGAAGCAAAACGGCAATTTCTCCTGAATCGCTGTTTGCTGTAATTTGGAAAGTTGTTCCTAGATTTAGGTAAGAGATGAGTTTTTCAGTTTTGATTTGCCTTATAATAACCTTAAGAATATGTAAAGCAGTTTAATAAGTTAGCATTAATTTCTTAACATAACAAAGGAACTTGGCCAGATGCCAGATAATAATTCCTGAACTCTGAACCTTTCAACCTAAATTATTACTGCATTTTAAAATATAAACATTTTATTTTATCCGGAAATTTTAGAAATAAACTGTTGTGTTGTGATAAATATATATGTCTACATGAAATATATATATTTGTCTTTAATTACTATGAAACTAGGCACCATCTGAATGTAAAAAGACAATTTTGGATTAAAGTAAATGAATATTTATTTTTTGTAGAAATGTTTTTTAGTTATCTTCAAGCCATTATCAGTTAAAATATTTTAACAAATTAATTGTTAAAATATATGATAGTAAAGAAAGGTAGTCTATATTTTATGTTATATACATGTACAGTATGTAAGTTAAAAAAAACTTCATTTCAAGAGCACTTTTCCTCAAACATTTGTATAAACATTTTCAATAAGCACTATAATTTTCACTAAAATGCATTTTAAATTCATTACATTTAAGTTTTAAAAATATAAAACAATCAAAAACAAATTATGAAAGATTATAATTATTAGAAGTACATTCTAAGAATTATAATGTATACAGTCAAGGAATACAAAAGAACATCTAGTCACAAAGACAAGTAAAAACAAAAGTGAATGAAAAACAGATTTTTTTGGAACAATTAAAAAAATAAAACAAAGATTTATCAAGAAATTCCTAGTTGTTTTAAGACAAAATTATTACCATTAGCAATATTATATCTTATGGCATAAAAGATGCAGACTTCCATTTCAGCACATAATATCTAGTGTTTAGTGTATTTAAGCCATCTCTTACACCTTTGGCAATCATTTCTAAAAATTTTTACTGTATTCCAGTGTTAAAAAAGTGAAATTATAATGCACACTTTTATTTATCAGGATAAAAGAAGAGTTTAATAGAAGTCATTTACCATTAAAATATTCAATTTGAATACATGAAAAAGCTGCTTAGCTATAGCTATTAATAATAATATGTTTAATTAAACAATAACATTTTTATTCAAGAGTGGTATAGATAGAGGTTACCTTTAGTCTACAGAAGGTTGTCTGGGGAATCCATTAGCCTTAAGGGAGACTGCAACTTTGAAATGCAGGGTTTTTTAATGAACAAAATTTGCATCTCATATGCCATAAAATATGATATTTAATAAAGAAATCTTATTTAAATTGCTACATCATTCGTTTATATTTGAATTTGTAACTATAATTTCTTACTTATTGCAAGTTCAAATGTAAATTTATTAAGAGCTAAGTATTCTAATTCTGGAAACAATTTTGTCATTTTTCATCAATTCTTTAACCTAAATGAAATAATTATATTAAATTCTTCTAATTTGTTAAAAATATATTCAACAAAAATTAATCTTATTTATAGGAATCAAACTATTATACAAAATATTTTTTGCTATTATTACAATTGAAAAAAATGTAATTGTTTTAATAAACAGCCCCTGACTCTGATGTTTGAATATTACAGCCATTTGCTTTATTAATTTTAAATAAAAATTTTGGACTATTCAGACCCTTTGATTTTAAAATCATCTAAATAAAACTTTGTTTGTTTTAATATAACTTATCTGATAATTCTAAAGTTATAAATACTTTTTCTATATTTATACAACAGAGGGTATCAGCAACAAGATGCTCACGAATTTCTTCGTTACATGCTAGACAGACTGCATATGGAATTGTTGAATATATTGTCATATCCTGCACATAGCAACAGTATATTTATAGGTCCAAAAGGTAAAGCAACAATTGTCACGACAATATTTGGCGGCATATTACAAAATGAAGTGACGTGTTTAGTTTGTGGAACAGAATCAAAGAAGCACGATCCTTTCTTAGGTATTTACTCTGTCAAAATACTAAAAACAATAATAAACTTCATTTTTTTATTTTTTTACTTTTAATATTTTCTTAGATTTATCACTCGACATTCCTCAAACACTAATGAATAAAACAAAGTTAAAAGAAGAAGAAACATCTCTAGTACATTTATCAGGTAAAAATTGATTACATTATGTACATATTAAATTATGACAGATTTGGAATAATAATACAAGACTGTGTTAGATACAAACAACAGTTAAATTATACATAAAATTTTCACAAATTTCTATCCTATTAAAATTTGTATCTTAACTAATTTAGGTTATAAGAAGTCTATTGAAAACAACTAATTTGGTATTTGATATTAAAAGCCATTATAAAAGAATACTAATATTTTAATAGAACTCTTGCAATAAATTGCATATTTATACTTTAAATTATAAAATTTATTTTCCAGATTGTCTTAGTAGTTTTACAGAATTAGAAGAATTGGCAGATAGTGAATTATATCACTGTCACACTTGCAAAGGCAAACAAAGATCCACTAAAAGGTTTTGGATTCGACGCTTGCCAAATGTAAGCATTTCAAGAAAATTTAAGTTAATATTGATGCTAACAATCAATTTTAATAACAAATTCAATACTTAATTTAATATTAGTAATTGTAATTTTAAATTATGTAAACAAATAAAAACATTTTCAAAAGAAATTTAGCTCTGGAAAATATTTTCCAAAATTTCTTATTATTATTATATATATATTTTTCTAAATTTCTTAATATATTATGAAATGGATCAAAATTTTTATAGTCAAAACTCAATCTAGTGCCCTCCTTTATTATCACGACCCTCATAAAGGTCCAATGAAGACTTATTAATGGAAATCTTTTAAGTATTAAATACAAACCTTTTTAATATTTGTAAATTACTAAATGTACAATTTTGTATTGTAAATGACAATGTTATCACTAAATCACACAACTGCACCCTCACAATCATAAACTTTTGTGTATTGTGGGTTGAAAACCTGTTCTGAAAATCTGGGTCTAACCTGGATATTAATATTACTTTTGGAACAGGAAGCTGACTGTCAAACCTCGTTCTACCAAAGTAAAATTAAGCTCAATTTTTGTTTTCCTTGAGTATTCCTTAAAATAAAAAAATAACACAAAATATGAACAGATTATCTATTTAATATTTTTTATTTCAAAGGAAATAGTAAGTTCTCCTTTTCAAAATCAAAAAAATTATTTTCTAAGTTCTTGTTTTTGGTAAATAATAAAGTTTTTGTTTATTAAGTTACATAATTTTTGGTTTGAAATTTCATTGCATTTTGAAAGTAGATTTTTTGTATTTCATCTGTTATAAGTAGTTTTCTTTTTTTTTTTTTTTTGCAATTAGTTAATAATCATCATATTTATTTTAAATGGACACTTTTCTTTTATTGATTCTAAAATTGGTTCTTTTAATTTTTTTTAATAAAATGCAACTAAAGTATATTAAAAAAAATTCCAAATTAAGTGTGAATTTAACCTATCCTTTTTCATACTTTTACATGTAAATAAAATCATTATTTCTATTAATGATAAGTGATGCAACTTATTTACTTTAATTTAACTATTTTCTCTCTACATAATTATTTTTTCATCATCAGAACTGGGTTTTGGGCCATGACTTGACCCTGGAACTGGTTTTGTAGTTTTTGGTTTCTTTTTATGACCCTAGTACACTTTGTTACTATTGATATATGTAAGAGTTCCTGTAGGATCATGAGATTCCATGAAGTGATTTAAGGAGTTCTATGAAATGAAAATACATTATTTATTGGTTGTTCTAAATTTATACATATGGCATTTGACACCAATCATTCGGCCATTGATAGTGTGAACAGTCCACTGCTGCTTCATTCCAGAATCTTCTTAAAAGACAAATAGGTTTGATTTACCTCTTTATCTACTAGTTAACTTAAAAAAAAAATAAATACATATTTAAGATATCAGAAACCTTCAGTTCAACTTTAATGGGGATAAGATAATGGGCCAAGTGGATAAAACCACCAAACACTGGTAGTTGGTTGTGGATTCACGACTGCCCATGTGAAATTTTCTTGGTTTTCCTCACATTTTTTACATTTAAATAGGTCCAGTTTCCCCACAAAAGACCTCCCGGGAGGCATTTTTCCCTTGGCAGATTGTCCACGTGTTGTGTTGCCATATACCAATAAAATCAAAACCATAAGATACAGACAGATAGGTGTTCCTCAGTAGATTCTATAGGTTTTTCGGGATTCTTTTGGGTTAAAATAGATTGAGAATTGCCACTCGAGTTACTTCAGTTTAACTCCCATTCAATTTTATGCCATCGTTGGAGGCAAAGAAATGGCAACACTAAATCGAGGTTTGACTATAATCGAGAGTTCTTATAAATGTTCCCGTTATATTCTGGTTTTATACATACAATTATTAGGATTTTAATATGAGGAATTAATTAATTAATAAGGAATCAAAATAACAAAGATTTACATAACTTAAAATGAAAACAAATTTTATTTATAGGTGTATGAATCAGTTAGCAATAAGCTGTTTTTGTTTGTTGGTTTTCTTACCTCACTTTTGAAAGAAAACAGTTAATTTGATGTTACATGCATAAAAATTTATAAGTGTATTCTAAATACTTAAAACATAGCAAAGGTATCTAATGCAAAGTATTATTAGTTCATTCCAAATACATCAGTGTTATAAATATTATTGGTTATTAAATTTGGAAGAATTTTTAACACAAACATGCATATTCTTTTTTGGAAATTTTATAGTTGGGAAGTAAAGATATTGAAAAAGCATAGAATATAACATAAGAGAGATGCTAATTAGGTGAACTGAAATTGGATGTATGACATATCAGATTGCTGAAAAAAGTTTACAAATAATCCTAATCATCATCACTGATTTTATATCATAGAAGAGACTTATATTTTTAAACACTTGTCATTTTGATAATATAATAATTGATTAAAACCAATCCATTTTAATTTGTAATATGATTTAGACGCATGTAAAAGTATGTTGTTTAATTTTTGTAGCACGTATAGGGACATATTTTGTTTATTTATGTAATATACAAAAAGTTGTTAACTTATTTCAAAAATTCGAACAAACGGTTCCATTTTGGAATGATAAAGGAAAACCTGGGGATGGCCTATCGAAATAGGCTGAAAACATTTGAATAAAGAGAAAAAAACTAGGCAAGTAGAATTCAGGTGTGTTCATATATATTATAATTAACATTGTTGAGAAGGAGAGAGAGAGAGTTAATTTATAAGAATTTTTTACTTTTTTCTTATGTAGAATTTTTTACTTTTTTTCTTGTATTTAGGGATTTTTATTAATTTTTCATAAAAACAATTTTCACACCTCTGTACCAATACTTTTGGTTTTAACTTACCTACCCTAGACAGGTGAAAATATTTTTCATTCAAAAGATATTCTCGTACAGGTGTTAAAATGATTCCATATCAATCAACACCCTTTTGTGAATGAATGTTAAATTCAGCTATTTATATCAAGAATTTATAGTGTTACAAGTTTTACGTGGCTATAACCACGTAAAACTTGTAAAAGAGCAGAATGCCGATAAAATACTGTCTTTATTTTCTATTTATGACAAAGTATGTTTACTATTTTTGTTGATTTTTTTAATTGTTAAATTTCAGGTGCTTTGTCTACATTTAAAACGATTTCGATGGAATACCTACTTTAGAACAAAGCTGGATACTTACGTGAAATTTCCAATTAAAGGATTAGATATGAATAAATTTATGCTTTCCAATATGGTAAGTCTTTCGTATTGGTTAAAAGAATTAATTTTACGCTATTTTTTTATAATCCGTAATTTATTACGTACAGCACGAAACACGTGGAACATCGGGTGGCAGTACTCTGTACGATTTGGCGGCTGTGATAGTACACCACGGTTCTGGGTAATGTTACTTATATTTTCTTGTTTATTGGTGGAAGAAATCTTTTAAACTTACAGACACGCGACTATTTCCAGGGTCGGTTCCGGTCATTATACCGCTTATGCAACTCACGAAGGTAATTTTATTGGTCCTTATTTTCGCGAGTACCGTTTTCGTGACGTTTTTCTGTCTCGTTTTACAGGCTGCTGGCATCATTTTAACGATAGCACAGTCACCTTGAGCGACGAAGAGACCGTAGCCAACTGTAAAGCGTATATTTTGTTTTACATTAGACGAGAAGTCAACTTGACACCCTTTAGCCTATAGGTTGGAGTGAGATTCCGGAGACGAAACTCTTGCACCAAATACTCTTAACGACCAAAACTCGGCCGATTCTCGTTCCCATTAATCGGAGGACGAAGTGCCACGTTGCCTAGATTCCACATCCACTCTTAGTATAGATTGGTACAATCTTCCCTTTCTGCCGCACACACAAAAAAAAAGTGAGATTACAACACTCCAAAGTCTGTGTTCGTCATAGTGTACATTAACAAAATCCTCCCGTTTGGAGCGGGAAGCTTTTACTGGAAAATTCAGTGTCGTGTGCTTTTCTGCAACCGTCTGTGCCGTTCGAAATGTGTTTGCCATTTCTCTCATCGAAGAACGATACGTTATTTTGTAATTTCCATCCAGTTAACATAAAGGTGCCAAGCGAAGATTTACTCATTACAACTACAGACGGGGAATAAATATGTATTTAAAAAAAAAGGAAATCTTATCGGGCATCCATTCCCTTAAGTGTAAATCAGTGTCGATCGTTTTTTGTGCAAGTTCTCGTTTTATGATCTCTACGCCTCTGGCAGGCTGTTTTTTTAATGGTGTGAAGACGACGTCGTTCGCTGTCGATTTCATTATACCTTCGTTAGACATTATTATTATTAGGCCGCGTGGAGTATCGATCGGAGGACGTGTGGAAAAAAGTGTTTCCAAGATATTCGCTTATCGTCTAGCACCCGAAATATAGTTTGGTATTTAAATGCATTTGGTTTAAAGTAATCTTATTTTTTATATTTCGTTTATAATTTTAAAAGTATTTAGCGAATCTTTGGAGTGCGGCACCAATTTTTAACTATATATATATATATATATATATGGTGTGTGTGTGTGTATGTATATATATAGTAGACAATGCTCGCTTTCCACTAGGGTGGAAGATAAGAGGGAGAAGTTAAACAGTATTGTAAGGTTTTTTGACTCGCAAAATTTTTTGTTATTAAATCTGATTCATTTGTACTTAGAGCTCATTTAGAATTTTCCTTGGGTTTTCTTTACGTTTATAAATTTAAAACAGTCGAATGGTTCGGGTGTTAAAATCCCTACACCGAATTTCGATTAATTCTAGATTGACGTGGAGGAGAGAATCTTGTGCATTTAGACTGGTTTAAAATAAACAATAAATTTATTTAATAATGTACGAGTGGTACTTTATTGGCGAACTCGCAAACGGTTTCCAAGTACATTTTCGGGAAAACAAGAAAAATGATTAGAAATTTTCGTAGTGGTGAACGAATGCCGCTCCGTCCTTCCTGTTCAATCGTTCGCAGGCCAACTGAACGCTGTTGGTCATGGGGAGAGGTCCGCAACTGAACACGCCCACTTTCGTCACCTGAAATTTAAATCCATGAAACTCCGCTTTAAACGGTGGTGTCGAAAATTGTCAACTTACGCTGGGATGCTGCCGCTGAAGAGAGTTCAGAAAGGCGAAGAAGTTCGGACGACCGAAATGAGTGACGGACTGAAGGCCGGTGAAGAGACTGCGATTAGAAATTCTCTGGAAGTGTCTTTCGCATATGTACTAAGAGGGAAAGAGAAAATCAGTTGGCCAATGACCGAGAAACGAAGGAATCAAAAATTGAATCTACCGACCAACATGGTGGTGCGCAGGTCGAATTTCTGATAAAACTGCGTGATAAATATATGAACCGTGACCAAATCGTCCTTATCTTTCGCTTCTACGTCTCTGATTATGTCCAGCATCCATTCGAAGTGCTTCTGAGTTCTCGTCACCCAAATAAAGTAAACCTGGAATTTTTCTTTATAGAAGAGTGCCTCTACGAAAAGGTAAATATTTAAAATTTTCTCACTTTTTTGCAGGGAATTTTGGCGCGATTGCCGGATTTGGCCACCACGTCTTTGAGAATGGAGGCGAAGGGAGTGACCCCTATCCCTCCTCCCACCAAAACAGACACTTCGAAACGGAACCAGTCCTGGTGACCTTCTCCGTAAGGACCGTCCAAAAATATCTGAAGGACAGAAGGATTTTTAGTAACGGGGAGCGCCTCGCGGACCGAATTACTGTTTACTCACTTTGGGATAAGCGTGCGAACCCACGTTGGCCGGATCGTAAAGCCTTCGCAGATTAAGGGTCCAGGGCCCGACGGCGCGAATATGCAGAGTCAGGTTCTCTTCGTGAGGAGCGGACGACAGAGTGAAGGGATGATACTCGTTTTCGTTGAGAGGGAGGCAGGCTATTCTGACCCACTGTCCACTCAAGTATTCGAAGTTGGGAGGTCGTTTGAACTCCAACATGGTGACGCCTGCAAATATCGACGCGCGCATTGACAAAACAGTTTCTCCAGACGAGAAGAGAGAGTTAAAACTTACCAGAAGGCAAGAGTTCGGCTCTTATGACGGCGATTTCTATCTTCTTCCTGTTGACGCTAATCAGTTTGTCGACGGTGAAGAGGACGCAGGGTCCCAGGAAAAAGTAATAAAAGATGGGATCCTGGACCAATCTTCCCAGCCCGTGCAAAACCATCAAAATATATAAAACGGGGTATAAATTGTGAGTTAACCAAAAGGCGTCGAAAACGTGTCGTCTGGAGTACTGAATGGCAAAGACGTACATAACGGCAACCACCATGACCAGAAAAACACCCGTCAGTCCTGAAAATAGGCATAACGAGAAAACTTAAACGCGCCACAAATGGTAGTTATACTCTTTCGGTTGTCGATTTACCTGTTATCGTTTGGAAACACCAGTAATGAAATTTTGGCAGTTCGTGGGTTCTGAAATTCAAAGAAATTAGCGTGAAGAGAACCGATAGATAAAGGCCATTGTTAAATTAATAAATAAATTACGCGTGGTAAAAATCGCGGAAGAGGCAAGTCAGGTCGTCGGCCGTCTGCGTAGAAATGTGGTAGAAGTTCAGGGCGTGACCGACGGAGTGGATGACTGAAAAAAAAAAAAAACAAATGAAAATAAATAATAGAAACCGTGCGGATGTGGTTAACAAAAGATGAAACTTACCGGTAAAGACGAGAGCCCAAAAGGCGATGTACTTGTGAAACTGGACGGTGGCGTCGAAGGGCACGAAGCGATGAAGGAAAGTCTCCCTGAGGAAGGTGATGCAATTGCGACACATGGTCAACAGAATGGTGGAGTAAGTGAACATCATGACGCTGGCCGCTCCTCTGGTCACCGTCACCCCGTAACCGGCGATCCTCCTGAGTCCTCCGTGCTCGCGCTCCACCGAGTAATCTAGCGAGGAAGGAAACCCTGAGCCCCAATCTCGGTTAAGGATCTAAGGATGGACAAAAGACTCACAGTAGGCTCTCTCGGCGAAAATCCCGAAGACCACCAAGGTGTAGAGCACCGACCAGAAGATGTGCAATCGGTAGTTTTCCACAAATCGAATGGTTTTGATCAGCGTCTGTCTAAGCGCGGTGGTTTGGTAAGCCTCCTGTTTCGTTTCCACTCGCACTTGGTTGGGAGTTTTGGGTTGGGGCAGTCTGCCGGGTTCGTTCCCTCCGAAGTAACTAGAGCGCGAGGAAATAAGACGTCAGTCCGCGAGTACGGAGTGACTTTGTAATTGGAGTGGATTACCTGTAAGCGCGGTAGATGGTTTCGTGAGCCCTGAAGACGGCGCTCTGCCGGGCTGCCGATTTGGGAGGCACGGGATTAAATCCGCTGACTGCAATGCCGGGGAAAAATTAATTTCGGCGGAGGAGCGAAAACCCGCGCGAAATTAGCTTAAGAGGAATACCGTCGAAATTAAGTTGAACGTATCCTAGGTCTTCGCGGTAATCTCCTAAGAGTTTGGTGAAATCGTCAAAGGTGAGGTCCTGTTTGTGCTGCAGATTGGCCGACTTGAACATGCTGTTCACCAATTGGTTCAGGCGTTCGGTAGTTAGATTCTGATTGGCCAATTCCAACATGGATCTGAAAGGAAAGGGCCTTATTAGACCGGCGCCGAGCGGACCAAAGGTGTTTCGGGTACCGACGTACTTGATCATGCTGGTGAATTCCTTCTTGGAAAGTTGTCCGGAATGGTCGATGTCGTACATGTCGAACATCAGCTTGGCCTTGTCTTCCGGCGTACCTGCGGGCCGAAAATAACCGAGTGGCGCAATTCACGTACCAGAAACGGCTTCCGGTATGGAATATACGCCGATACGCGTGGTTACCATTTTTAATTTTTAGCCACGTCTTCGTAACACGTCTAGAATACGAGTCCGTGATTTTTAAACGAGCGGTTATAAAAGCCGAAGAACAATAAACCTTTTCGCTAAGTTTTGGGATGTCGGTGGGTAATTAATTAAAAATTCGTTGGAACCAAAATTTTTAGCCGCTGGCACAAAACCGAAGCGATGTGGCAATAAAGTTTCCATTGAACGTTTTAAAATTGTTAGTTACTGTAACAATGACAGATCGGAACAGGCGTCCCGGAATATCAATCCTAAAATATGGCGACCGTAGCCCAAAAGTCACAGAAGAACGGAAGTGTAACGGGATAAACCCATCTTAATCTTTGGAAGATAAATCTAATCTCGTTTCCGGTTTTACTGTCTACGAATTATAACGCTTCGATAAATTTACTTTCACCGGTTTTGACGGGCGTAGCTAGAACACGGTTAACCGACTCTGGGTCGTTCGGTAGTTAATATTGGTGAAGGGTGTCTGTATTTACAATGTATAAAGGGCACGGCCGTATACTAGATGTATCGCGTTGGTTGTAAATTCACCGCGCGACGAGTAAGCCTTTGGGGTCTAGAGTAATAAGAAACTTCGTTTGTTCTTACCTTTGGCGAAAATGACGATCATGTCCAAAAATTCCCGGAAAGAAATGTATCCGTTCTTATCGGCGTCGACCAGAGCGAACATCTGCTGGACGAACACCGCGTCGGGACGCAAGGACAGAGATTCCGCGAATTCGTGAGGCGTTAATTCCGTGTTTATTATTTCTTTGGCCTGCGCCGCGTCCAGTTTCAACAATTCGTCTTGATCGTGTTGGATGTTGAAAGCCTGAAAACCGAAGATTTACGCCCGGAAAGCGAGAAGATCGGGAGGAAACCGGCTTAAAAACGCTCACCTGCGCGAACACTACCCTGAAAAACTTTTCCAATTGCTTCTGGCGGTGCGCTTTGGTTGTGGCGTCGTTCAACATGAACTGAAGTCTGATCCCTCTCTTCTGTCTTCCCACTCCTATCGCACCCAAATACTCTTCTAATCTAGCTACGAACACGTCCCTTTCTTCCAACATGTCGAAACTCAACACCTGTAAGAATTACGTAAGTCGATGCTCAAACCCGTTACGGAAAGGAAAGAAACGGAAACGAAACAGACCAAGTCGTATTCTCTGGCCACTCGAAACAGCAAAAAGTGTTTGTTCGCGTCCGCGCTGATTTGCATCTCCACCGTTTCCACGTGTTTCAGGTCGATGGAACGAATCACTTGTCTGTTCAGCAATTGAACCACGATGGTCTTGGAGTTCTTGTCCGTCCGGATGATGATCTGCCGCAGCTTCTCCTTCTTCCCCACCCATTCGTTGACTGTGGATAGAAAAGTTGGTCCCGGTCGGTCGGCAACCCTTCGTTCGATTATAGTTGGCGTTTAGAGCCTACCTAACATGCTGTCCAATCCTAGCGTTTTGCGCTTCACTTCGTTCACCATTTTCTTGTGCGCGGCCATCTTTCGTTCTCGCTTTCTGGCCAAGTACACCAAAACCGCTCCGCAACCTACGAAAAATTAAACAATGTATTTTGCCGAAAATATTCGTCGCTTCCCCTCAGATGCCGACCCCGTCCTTCCCGGGTATTTCGTGGTACGTCGAAACCACCGTAACATCGCGCGATATTAATTGCGTAGCGATACAAACTGTTCATCGCCAGATGCGAATAACTCGAGATCGCGCACCCCCAACGGTTAATTATCTCGCGGGCCAGGATTAATTTCGGGGAAATGAGGGAAACTTACCGACGACGAAAAGTGCCAGCGATAAGAAAGTAAATGCGTAAGACACTTCGCTTCCACTGAAGTAGTCGAAAGTCTCGACGCTGCTACAACTTTCGATGTCGTCGTGAGACAGCGGGGGTAGAGATTGAAAGGTGACGTTCTTCCATTGATAAGTGAAGTCGAAGTTTTGACATTCGGGACCCGGGTTTACTGCCGGAAGAGAAAGTTTTCCGTCAAGCCTGTCGTACTTAGCCCGACCAAAACCATGGCGTAACGTCCAGTGATCGTACGCTACGTAAAAGTTGAAATACGAGGTGCGACATTTTCGTTTCCGGAATGGCGCGTAGTAACATAATTATATCGAAATGACACGCGCATAAATTTCGAGCCGATAGTACTAGTTGTTAATTAGCTACAGCCGAGGCAACGGTTGTCCGAGTGACCGAAATTTAGAGCAACGTATTAATATCAAATTTTATGTGAAAATGGGTAAATGCGCTACCGAAACGTTACAGTTGTTGCACGTGGCGAAGATGCTACGAAAAAGTCCGGCGTGTTCGAGTGACTTAAAGGTGCATTCCGGGGATTAAAATTGTCACACCTCGTGCACCTACCGTCGGACGGAAGTCGGAAAGGATTCCTCTGGATGTCTCTTTCGGTGATGTTGGTGACCTCCAACAACACGTTCAAGAGGGTCAGATTCTTGATTCGAGCGATTTCTTCTTCGGTAAACAAACTGAAAAAATTTTCTGGCATTTCTTTCTGGAAAATTACTTCTAGAAATGAAATTCGGACACTTACTTATTTTTTCTGTTTTCGAACCAAAATCTGTCCCCGTCCCTTATTCTTCTGAACTGATCCTTGATGATGGCCTTGAAGAGAGGACCGGGAGACGTTTCCGTTTCCAGTAGGCCTCCCACCCAGATGTCGATCTCTCGAGTGGAGTTGTAGTATTTCTTCATCTGTTCTACCAGGCCCTGCGTGCGAGGGAATGTCACCGTCTCCGTTCACAATTTACCACCGTTAGGGGAAGCCGACTCACCTTGGCGTCCATACTGGAAGAGACGACTCTCTCCATGTCTTCCCAGGTGTCGATGGGATCTTCGTGGGGGAGCATGATCATTCGAGCCGTCCTGTAATCGGGGAGTCCGTGATCCCTGCCCCGCTGGATATTAATGGCCATCAGGTCTCTCCGAGAAAATTCCAGAGGGCCGAACACGTTCCCTGTAAGACTCGATATTATCTTCTCTTCCGGAATATTATCAAAAACTTAAGTCTAGAGGAGTCTGCACGGGGGATGTTTTTTATTTTTGCACTTACGTGCCTTTATAAACAAACCGCCGTCCGACAATACGTCAAAACCACGAAATTTATCCCCAATTTTGATGCAACTCTCTTTTCGAAATAATGGAAGTTTTACGCGGGTTTATGCCCGTTGTTGAGCTGCAATTTGAAAATTCCCACCGACTTACCTCTCAAATCCTCCACGATGACGTTGTCTTCCCTCTCCGCCGGTTGCGAAGCCAAACCCATGAGAATTTCATCGATGCCCGACTCCAAGACGGAATCCTGCAAAAGCCGGTCTCTGTGAGAAGTGACCGAACGTCGCCCGGTCTACCCGGACAATTCGTACCTGAGGATTCCAGAAACTGTTGCAGGTTCGGATGTTTTTGAATCTGTCGTGACCGCCGGCCTTAATTTGTTTACCCACTTCGCATTCCGGGGCCTTGGAGCTACCACCACAAACGAGTTTCCGTTTACGCTAAATAAACACTTAGGTCTTAAATAAAACGCAACCTACCGGGTGTGTACCGCCGACACCACCAGCGTGTGTCCGAATCTCATGGCCGCCGACTGAAAGACGTGCGAAATGCCCGGATCTACGCTGCCGTCGTAACCTTAAAAACAACGAAAACTTAGATTTTTTCGTGCAAAATCGGTTCGCGCGTAATTAAAAACCTCACGTTCGTAAGGGTCCAGTTCTTCCTCCAACCACATGGGCAGCCATTCGTCCACCACTATGTGCTGCAAAATAATAATTGTAGAGAAAATCGCTACGCGACGTATTAAAATGGAACTAAAATTTCTTTTATTTACGTTGGCCCGAGCTTCGACGTCGTAGGTCAAACTGGCACCATGGACCGCCAAACACCTTCGGACGTCCACGCATATTCGCGTACAGATTTGTCCCGTAAACGAGAGTTGTGTGGCGCCACTTCGGCCATCTTGGAAACCAGTCGCCGGGACGTCGTTTCCGTCCAAGTTCGATTCGACAAAACCGGAAATCGTCGAATCGTCACGAAATTTTTGTTACCAATAGTCCGATACAAAAGTATAGGAACACCATCAATTTTGTGTTAATTTCGAAATGTACTGTATTTTGAAATTATTACTGAAAATATTAATTATTTTTTATCCTTAATTACTTTATCAGGTTTTTTACAATTCATAAAGCAGCATAAATGTTCATTTTTTGATGTGTTACAAAAGTATAGGTACACCACTTAAAAATCTTTAAAAAATAATTTTAATTATTATTATAATAAATTAATCACCACAAGCGGTGAGATTTCATCGTTTTTAACGGTCACGGTGGCTTTTTTGAATGTTATATAAAGATTTTCAACAATGCCTCGTGGAACTGTACTCAGAGAGCAAGAAATACGTAAAATTTATTATTTGAGTGTTTTAGGCAAGTCTCCGAGGCAAATTGCTGCGGCTGTAAATAGATCTACCAGCGCTATTCGAAATGTTTCGCAACGAGGTGAAAATTATGGGCAGAAAAGGAAGTCGGGACGGCCTACATGTTTAACATCCAGGAATGAGAGACAAGGCAAGCTGCCGCTGAATTACAATTAGTTAAAAAGAGAAAGCGGAGTTAAATCAACAACGAGGAGGTGGGTCTGTAATGATTTCCTGTGGTTTTGGATGGGGAAGTAAAACCGATTTAGTATTTGTTGACAAAAATATGAACTCACAAAAGTATTAAGAACTATTGTATAATAATACGATTACATTTGGTGCATTAATCGGAGGTCGTAAATGGAAGTTTCGACGATTTAATGCTCCCATTCGTGCCTCAATGTCAACAAAAAATTGGTTTAAAAAAGAAAACATTGATGTACTTGACTGGCTTCGCGTAGTCCAGATTTAAATCCCATTGAAAATTTACGGGGGATTTTAGCAGCCATTGTTTATCAAAATGGGAAACAATACGAATCCGCAAATCAATTGAAAATTGCAATAATGGATGCGTGGGATGGAATTAAAGATGAACAATTAAAAAATATTAATAAACTCCATGCCTAACAGAATTTTTCGAATAATTGTAACCAAGGGGGTGAAAACAAATATTAAAAGTGTTTAAAATATATTAAAAATTATTTTTATGTAATTTTAGAAAGTGTACCCACAGTATACTTTAGTGACAAGTAAAAAGTGAAAAACTCTGATAACTTCTATTATATTACTGTTTAAAAGTAAAAAGCTTGAAAATTATATTTTTGTGATTGTTTTAAAACATACAAAACTGTTTTCTAAACAAAAATTTAAATAAATTTTGAAAAAACACAAAATTTGTGGTGTCCTATACTTTTGGCCCACCAATGGCCGAGCGGTCTTCGTAACCCCGAACACTGGGAGTTCGGTCGTGGGTTCGCGCCTCGCTCGGACGGGCCGGCCACCTGGAGTTTTCCGGGTTTTCTCCACGTCCGTAATGCCTAAATAGAGGCCAGTTTCCCTTAAAAAGACCTCCCGGTAAGCATCCCACCAGGCAGATCGCCCAAGTGTTGCGTTGCCATAACAAACAAACCTATACTTTTGTAACAGACTGTATTGGTAACAAAAGTTCGCGGAGAAGTTCGGCCGCTTAATTAAATACAAATTGTATTTTTCACAAATCCACCCTTCCGTCTGTCCGTCAGAAATTTCAATAGTCTGTCTACGGAAAAGAATCGACTCGAGAGCGACGTCCACGCGCGACGTCGCTTCGGTTAAACCAATCGGCACTTTTCACTTAATATTTCAGTATGCGAATTTTATTTTATTTTCTTTCGGTAGATGACGGAACGATTTTTCCGTTAATTTTTTATAGCATGCATTAACTGTAAAGAACCGTGCTTTTAACTATTACGATAGCCAACTTTTTCGTATTTCAATACTAGAACCCGAGGCTTCCGTAATACCAGAGTGAATAGATATACTGGTCCTTGGGCTACGCTCTCAAATACAGCTGATGTGTCGGGTTGCACATAGCCGGCGTTAGAGTTACTCTTAGGCTAGAAGTTTATCTGTTTAGTTAGTATTTTTCCCGTTTTCAAGCATTTTTGTAACTTTTTTCTACTGTTCTGTCAAAAATCTTGTTCGTAATTTCTTTTTTAATTTTATATCATGTATAAAGAAAGAAAAGGTGTATTTGGTTTATAAAAAGAATTAATAACGCGATGATTTCAAATTACAGATGAGGATGTAGATTTTCCAGGTTTTAAAACATATCTTATCACACTGCTACTGGTAACATAAAAATGACACTTGTATCATCAGAATGCAATCTTCTATCATTTTAATGTTACCATTAGCATTGTGAAAAGTCTGTTATCTCTACTATAGTATTTAAGATATTAGTTTCAACAACTTTCGAGACAAGAAGCTCTTATAATGTCTAAAACTGTTATATTGCTACATATTGCTAATCTAGCAATACATAACGTTCTTCTATAATATAGGCCTATCTGTTTAATAAATAGGTAATGGTAGAATAAGTAAATAAATTTGCATTTTACTGTTTTGTTTTATTACGTATGTATGACAATATAATTAGGAAAAGCATAGCTTATCCTCCATAGAAATTTAATTCGGATAAAGACGAACTGTTTTTAAAATAATTTATTGACTTTAACACTACATAAAGTGTGCTAAACAACTTTACTTGATTTAGTATAGTGAGAAATAGTATTTGGGATGAAATAGTTTTGTGTTTTTGACACGAGAAATTACATTTCCTATGACACACACATTGGCTGTATATATCAATAGTTTGGTAATTTATATAATATTCTGCATTGTCGAAAGTAGAATACGAATGAAGATTTATCGATGGCCTACTACATCTGTCCTTTATTTATATAGGTTTAAAATATTACTAGCATGTCTTTCTTTTAGTCTCCGTGTCATCGCTATCACTGACAATATCTAACAATACTGTCTGAACTCTTGCCATCCTACATTTACCTATTTTATCTGTCAACCTCTAACTCGTCATCCTCTGATCGTCTCTAAGTAATTATGTGTCTGTAAATATGTTGAATACGTTGTCTAAATAGTTGTAATTTCCTTTTTTTCTCTAACGGTCTATATTTTTTGAAATCCAAGATCTAAGTCTACCGACTTAATCTCCCTCTCTTAGCTGTTCCTAACATTTTTGGCTCAACTTTAATCTCATTAATAAACGCAATAGAAATTGTGAATATCGCAGCTCTTTTCTCACCACAAACTACAATAATTTACCTAATATTAAAAACTAGCAGACTCCGCCACGCGTTGTTGTGGCTCAAAACGTATCTATTATAAATGTATAACACTTCCCCCGTGGGGGGAATTTTTCAAAAAATTTCTTCTTAGTGTATATTCTCTTGGCGTACTCTATTAAAACGCAATCAAAAACGCAAAAACCCGCATCTAAAATAGTATAATAGAAGCCAAGTTTTTCACAGTAAGCCTTAATCCTGTC